GGGAGGGGGGGGGGGGGGTGGGGTGGGGGGCAAGGCCCCTTAGAACTTTCATGTGGCTCCGCCACTGCCTAGTGCCAATCTAATGAACAATATTTAATTCGAGTTCAAGCAAGTGTGAGAATGCATACAAGGGAAGGAATTAGTCCAACAATTCCAATCCTAAAATAATGTGATTGAATATTCATTCCCATGACATAAACACTCAACAATTTAAGAACAAGCATTCAAGGTAATTTCTTAACTAATATGACATCTCCCAATGTGCAATAGTCAAGAGTTAACTCCTTAACAAATATGCCCTCTCCTAAGATGCAATAGCCAAGTGCAATTGTGGGTGCTCTTAATTATGTCCTAACTCCCATTAAGACATAAAGATAGCTACGAAACGGGTAATTTCGATCCTTAATTACTAGCATAAAACAGATAGAACACAATTGCAACACAAGCTATAAACCCAAATGTAAATATATTAATGAATTTAAGAACTAGGCACTTAGGTTCATAAACACTTTCACCCGAAAATCCCAAAGATTTTTTAGCCACTCATGGCTAGAATAGAATTCATTGCAATAATATAAAATAGTCCACAAGAAACAAAGAAAGTAAAAGAATAGACCAAGAGATTCTCAAAAATCTTTCTAGCTTTTCTTCTTTCTTCCCAAGGCAACTTGTAGCTCTTGATCTCCTCTTTTCTAGTCTCCAAAAACACAGCTTGATGCCCTAGGGTTGATGGAAGGTGGGCCTTTTATAGTAGGAGCCAAATGGGGATAAATTAGGAAGTTTCTGCGTAGCTTTCTTCTCGCACAAGACAATATTTCGACGCGTCGAGTCTTGATCTTTAAGTTTCGGATCGCTCGCTAGAAACATTTGACGCGTCGAGTCCTTGATGACTACTCGGGCTCGGGCTCTGGATATTTCAAAACGTCAAGCTCCCAACTCGACACGTCGAATCTTCTATGAATATTGGCTAAAGCTTCTGGAATTTTTAGACGCGTCGAGTCTGATTCTCGACACGTCGAATTCTCTGTATCAGCAATCTTCAGTCCATTTTTCCTCTAAACTTGTCTTAGAACTTTCCTTGCTTTTGCAATTGACCTACAATGGTTCCAAAACACTAACAAACAATGTAAAAATTTCATAACAAGCATTAAACCACATCTTCATGAGAAAGCAAGAAAATATGCATTGAAAGTAATAATTTAATGAACTTAAACCCACAAATAGATTCAAACTAGCCAGATAAACACACACAAATAGGCTCACATCATGGACAAAGCCACCTCCACCACGTGATGCGTGTTTTTGTGTTGACCGAGGGCACCAACTGCCCAATCCCACTGCCTGCATGCCTATTCCACCAACCTTCAAACACCCATCGGCCTTGACACAAAGATCTCCATACTGCCGCAGAAATAAAATAACAGTTGCAATCACCTGCAGAGTATTCTTTTCACACAAATCAAAAACTTATTCTAGCCAAGCAGCAAAAGTTGCGTGAACCCCATTAGGCAGCTGCAACTGTGACAGTCTCCATACCTCACATGCAAATGGGCAGTGTAACACCCTGTGTTACGGCCTCTAACCCGGTCTAATTATTTAATTGATTACCGTTAATAATAATTAGAAAGGATTTAATTGGGTTAAGGCCCCCCTTTAATTAATTGATGTGGCCCACCATGGAACATGGACCCTTACCCTTAAACCCAAATCCTTAATCCTATAAGGAATAGGATAGATGGATCCTTACTATTCAGACCCTAGTTAGGACTCCTATATAGATATATATATATATAAATATATATATATATATATATATATATATATATATATATATGTGTATATATATATATATATATATATGTATATATATATATGTGTGTGTGTGTGTGTGTATATATATATATATACACACACACACACACACATATATATATATATACATATATATATATATATATATACACATATATATGTGTGTGTGTGTGTGTGTGTATATATATATATATACACACACACACACACACACATATATATATATATACATATATATATATATATATATATACACATATATATATATATACATATATATATATATATACATATATATATATATATATATACATATATATATATATATATATATATATATATATATATATATATATATATTTATATATATATATATATCTATAGGGACTTAGGGAGCATTTTGAAATCCTACCACAATTAATTCCACCACACAAGATATTCCCAGGAATCCCCCTGCCACCAAACGTAGCAGAACCCACGGGAAGAAGATCTTAGGGAAAGAACCTTAGTAGCTAAGGATAATTGATTAAGGCTAAGAGGTAACCTATGTCTCAACAAAACCTATTTTCCTCGCTATATCTTATTCATTGGCTCCTTTGATATATGATTCTGTGCTTGAGTCTTGATAGAGCTTTGCCTAGGGTTTATATTGTGTTTATGTGATAATCTTGGTGTTTATGTAATAATCTTGATGTCTATGTGATAATCTTGATGTTCTTGATACTATGATTAATTATATGAACGATCTTGTATTTTGATTATGTCTAGAGCCCTAGGGTTATAACGTGAATTTCGTATTATAATATTCTTGGTATATTTGGGTGGGATGTTGCATGATCGGGTGTTGAGTCTAGTCTAGGACTTGTGTTTAAGACTTTGCATAGAGATTTCTTGATGTTCTTGTGATTCCAGATGTCCCTAGATCGTTATGTGATTTATGTTGAGTCTTGGCATGTTTAGGAATCGTGTTAGGGTGTGTTTGGTGTGATTCTTGGTTTAATTTCGTTACTTGAATACGTGGTGTTGTCGTTTATGTTTGAATGTGTTTGGATATGGTTTCGGGTTTCACGAAAGATCCCGGGACCGAAATATTACATACGAGTTAGTGGGGGGTAGGTGGGGGCAGGGGTGCCCGCCACCTACCCGCTGCCCCCCTTGCCCGGTTTCCAGCGGGCAGGCGTCTGCCTGCCGGGCACCCGCTGGAACTGTAGCCGCCGCCGGCGGGTGGCCAGCGGGTGGTCATCCACCCGCTGGAGAATTGGTGGGTAATGTGATGTTTTCCTCGTTTTTTGTTTCCCCGTGTCCTGTTGTACCCCGTTTGTCGTGTGTGAGTCTAGTTTGATGTATCGGGTACCGTTCTTAGGATAAAAGAGTCTTGTGTATTGCATGCGAGTTGAATTGGTATCCCGTTGGCCTAGGAGGTAATTGTATGATCCCGTAGGAGTGTCGTGGGTGAGTTAATGTCGTTGTTATGGATGGGTTATGTTGGGTTACGTGTATCCTGATGATTCCCCCTTGTTATGTGTTAATGTGGGCTGCTTGTGATTGACTTCGATGTTGTCGTGCATGATGACCCAATTGGTTGCGATCAATTGGCTATATGACTATCTGGTTGGTTGAGAACAACCAGGTATTAACCCGATCGGTCAAGACCGGTCAGCTATACAGGCAGTTGGATTGGTTGAGAACAATTGGCTGTTATATATAATAATAGGGCTGCGGTCCATAGTTTGGTTGCGATCAAACATATATAATAATAGGGCTGCGGTCCATAGTTTGGTTGCGATCAAACATATATGATTATAATGAGCTGCGGTTCATGGATTGGTTGCGATTAATCGTTTAGTTCTTCCTTGTGCTGCGGTACAAGTTAAAGTGCTGCGGGGCCATGTCAGAGCTATATGCACCGACCCCTTTGCAATGGAACTCAAGGTTCGGGTCATGTGAATGGTCCTGCGGCACCACCATATGTGTGGGCACCAATACGTGTCTTATTGTTGATTGTTTGACTGTGATGATAACTGGGTATTGATATTGTTTGTATTGAGTATTCTTGCGACCTTAAGATGCATGCTAGAATCTTTATGTTTGATTATATTGAATGTATCTGCTATTGCTTGTTGAGTCTGTCCTCGGATTTAAATTAGAGTTACTCAGGATTATATATGTATTCCAGTTTCAAAATGGGTTTCTTATATCTACCTATATTGTACTTAACGCGTTGGAGTGGGTTACCAGCATTATTCGCTGACGATTGTTATACCGAATGTTTTTCAGGTGATGAGCCTTAGCTTCGGAGCGCGCTAGTCTGAGCCGTTGACTTAGCGTAGTTAGTAATGGCCTGCGTGCCTTGGGATTGTAATGAATATTAATTTGAAGATTTCTTATGTTTAGTTAAGTTAGCCTATGCACCTAGGTTCTCAAACCTAGGTGTGGCATAGCACCCCGACTATCATGCTTAGTTTATGTTCTGTTTGGAGACTTATAATGGAATTGCCTTTAACATTAGGATCCTCCATATCAATAAGCCAAGGGTCCCTCCAAACATCCGTAGTTAGACCATTCCCAATCCTTCTCCTAGCATCAGATTTGAGTAAACCCTGAGCAGCCAAAATACTACGCCAGCAATAACTAGGATTATGGCCCATAGTGGCTTGCAAAAAGGAGGACTTCGGATAATACCTGGCCTGGAATACACGAGCCACTAGTGTTGTAGGATTTGTGAGCAACCTCCAACCCTACTTCCCTAGGAGTACCAAATTAAAGTAGTGAATCTGTTTGAACCCCAGGCCCCTTTTACACATTGGTATACTTAATTTGTCCCAGCTCAACCAGTGGATTCTCTATTCATCATTGCCATTATGCCACCAGAACTTGTTCATACACCTTTCTAACTTCTCACAAAAAAAAAAAAAAAAAAAAAAAAAAAAAAAAAAAAAAAAAAAAAAACCGGTAGCAAAAACACACTTATAGTAAACGTAGGCATTGTCTGGGCTACAGATTCATGTAACACTTCCTTACCAGCACGAGTCAAAAATTTCATGTTCAAAGTACCAATTCTTTACCTCAATTACTGCTCCACATAAGAGAAAAATAGCCCCTTATTCCTACCAATAACATATGGCAAACCCAGCTATTTCCCAAAATCAGGGGTCTCAAGAACTTTCAAGAATGTAGACACAGCAAACCTATCCCCCAGCAGTGTTATGACTGAAAGTAATACTGGATTTGTGATAATTTATAGCCTGACCTGACAAGCCCTCATATACTATCAAACACCGGCTTATCTTCCCACCTTCATGCTCATTAGCCTTAAAAAATAGCAAGATGTCATATGCGAAAAACATATGAGAGATCGCAGGTGCTCCCCTGGCCACCCTACATCCATGAATTAGGCCATGCTGCTGGGAATTCTGCAAAAGCAAAGATAATCCATCTACACAAATAATAAATAGATAAGGTGAGAGTGGATCACCTTGCCATAACCCCCTAGTAGGCACAACTACACCCCCAGCCTGCTCATTTACCATAATAGTATACCGCACAGTGGTAACACACAACATCATCAATTTAACCCATTCCCGGAAGAAACCTAGCCTCAACATCATACCTTCCAAGAAAGCCCACTCCATCCTGCCATAGGCCTTAGCCATGTCTAGTTTCAAAGCCGCTCACCCTTCCCATCTTCCTTGTTTCCTCCTCAAATAATGACCCACATCTGCAGGAACAAGAATATTATCAGTAATTAACTGCCTAGGAATAAATGCACTCTGTGACTCAGATATGATAATACCAAATAAATCCTTCATCCTATTAGCCAACATCTTGGCCATAACCTTATAAACCACATTGCAAAGTGCAATAGGTTTTAAATCAGTTACAACTTCCGGGGCCTGCTTCTTTGGAATTAAAACCACATTGGTGTCATTTAACTGGTCAGGAAACGAAGCAGTGTTCAGATAGTTTAAGACAAAACTAGTAACATCCTCCCCCCCCCCCCCCCCCCCACGCCCCAAAAAGCTTGATAGAAAGAAAGTAGGGTTCATACCATCTGGCCTCGGTGATTTGTTTGGACCCATAGAAAATACAACATCCTTAACTTCAGCAGCTTCAGAGGGCCTCATAAGGTCATTATTATGGTCCTGGGTTACACGCGGCTGAACAAAATCCAATGCCTTTAGCACTCAAGAATTACAACACTCATTCCTTCACCTTCCACCCACCTACCATCACCATCCTTCAACTTCACAATCCTGTTCTTACGCCTTCTAGCCGAGGCATACTTATGATAGTATCTCGTATTAGAGTCGGCCACCCTAAGCCAGTGTTGCTTGGCCCTTTGCCTCCAGAACACATTTTCCTGCTCCAACAACATAGTTAACCGGCGGTCCAACACCTTAACCATATTCAACGAATTGAAGCCTCATCCCGATTACCCCTCAGTCCTTCTAACTCCTTCCTTATGGCCCCTATTTCATTTCCATACTTATGATGCCTATCACCACCCCATCTACGCAGCCTCACCCCGCACCCCGTAACTTCTCCTGCAAGCTCACCCCTACCAAACCCTCCCACGCACCCTCCACCACCTCCCTACACCCCATATCCAACATCCACGAATTTTCAAACCGGATCGATGGCCTACCACGCACTGCCTATACACGTGAACTAATGTCCAAAAATAGGGTAGTATGATCAAAAGTAACAGTACTAATATTAAAGACTCGAGCCTACTCATGATCCTCACACCAACCCTCCTCCGCCACCACTCGATCCAACCTCTCTTCCACCCACTCCCTAGTCCCCCACCACGCTCCTAAGTGAAAGGGTATCCAACCATATGAACCTGCAACAACCCACACTCCGTCAATGTGTCACAAAAGCCCTACAATAAATTCTCCGGATGAGGATGCAAACCTCATTTCTCATACTAAGACATGAGATTATTGAAGTCCCCCATTACCACCCAAGGAAAAGAGGTCCTTCCTTTAAGTGATTTCAACAAATCCCAAGCCTCCTTCATCCTACTTCTTTCCGGGAAACCATAATAACAAGACAAGCGCCACTTGGACGTACCAGGCATAGCCACTACAAGTTCAACATGAGTACTGGAATAATGCAACAAGGACACCGTATCACTACACCTCCATAATGCAGCTAATCCACCACTCAACCCAACGGGCTCAACACAAAAAGCTCCCTCAAAACCCAACCTAACATGCAACCTCTCGACATGCACTTTACCCACCTTCATCTCTATAAAGAACACTATATCAGGCTTCTTACTGGACACCAAGTCCGTAACCTCACGAACAGTTCCAGCTCAATGTATTCATTGCGAAGGGTAGGCCTAGGACCCAAGACCCGCCAAAAATAAAAGTGCAGCATCACCCATAACCGTGTCACTCACCACTGCATTACTACATGCCCCTTCCTCCCATTTCTTTATTATTATTATTATTATTATTATTATTATTATTATTATTATTATTATTATTATTATTATTATTATTATTATTATTATTATTATTTTTATTATTATTATTATTATTATTATTATTATTATTATTATTATTATTATTATTATTATTATTATTATTCAAATGTCTTTATATGTCTTTTTACATGTAATCATTAATAGTAAGCATCTAATTTTATCGAATATCTTTTTATAAACCACTAATACAATCCGTTGGTCAAAACCACTAACACAACCCACTAACCGCTAACCGGTAATCAATCTGCTAACCGCTAACTACTGATTGCCAAACAAGTTCGGGCTAGAACCACAAGCCTTTAAAACGTGGTACAAAATCACACTCCATATTTAAAAAATATTATCAAATTATGAAAAAATTACAAATTTATAAAATTGCAATGAATAGACATAATAATAACATAATATTATAACAATTAGGAGACTTCAAATGGAAAAACAATTATGGAACCACAAGCCTTTAAGATGTTTTTTGAGCACATTTTAAAATTTAATAAAAGTGAAATTTGGAAAGCATTAATGTTGAAAATTATATTAACAAACATTTTCAACTTTAATAAGTCCATATAAAGGCATAATTACAAATGATTTATGAGTTAGAATAATTTTTTTAGAACTTCAAACAATTCTGAATTTTCCTCTCTATGAAAACTCTCTTTCTTCCTTCAAAATTTCTACCAACACTTTATGATTAAATAGAAGTGTTCACCTTGTTTACGTTCACTAAAAGCATTATATTTGAGTGCTCAAAGATAGTATTATAATCCATTAAATTTTATCAAGTGAGACTGACCTTCAGGAGGCAACTAATCATTTTAAGGAATGTTTTTACTATACACGACTTGAATTTTCCTTATTCACCGTTGTTGGGATTATTTCAAGAATTTAAATCCCTATGTTTTTTTTTTTTTTTAGACTTATTCACCTAAATCTTGGAGGATGCTAATGAATAATTGGTGTTTAATAATGAGAATAAATTGATTTGGACACGATGATCCTAGAGACCCATTTTTGGAAAATGGGCATACCAAGATGAGTAGATAGAGAAATTCTCATGCATTCCCCTATGATATGTCTTATTTTGACATCGGTATTTGGGGAATACAAAATTTTGGATTTAGAGAGATTAGTTTCTAACCCAATTTGTGGCACAAACTTGTCTCTACGTGGCTTCTCCAAAGAGCATAAGGTCATTCACAAAGAAAAGGTGGGAGATCCCAATGCCTCATTTATTGAGATAGGTTTCTAATGGTAAACCACAACGTCACGTTTTGAATAAAGCAGAGATTGAACTCGACCAATCCGGCCGACGCCTAACACACTCCTTGCTCTTGTCGATGACATAAGAAATATAATCTAGGAAATCTTTCCCTTAGTCCTACAAATCTCCGCCCAAATTCTATCATTATTATCAGCACATGTCAGCCAAACTGCCTCAAAGAAAAATGGTCATTTATATCTACTAGAAGCTCTCCCAACCTCAGTAAGGAAGACTAATGGATGGTGGTCAGAATGTAATCTAGAAAGAATAGTTGCCTTAGCCTCCATGAAAAACGTCTGAGCCTTAATGTTCCAGAACACATAATCAAGCTTTCACCATAAAACCGTCCTTCCACACACTTTGCAAATCCAAGAAAATCTATACTAGGTCCTTTCGTCACCAAATCGAATAACCCACAGTTTTTAAATGCCTCCACAAATTTATCCATGTTGTGAATATTTACCCTTTGACTTCCCCATTGTTCATTCTCGGTGATAATGTCATTAAGTTTGCCTAGAATAATCATGAAAAATCAATATTATCACTTAAATTTTAGAATTCTTCCCAAAATATAAAAAAAAAAAAAAAAATCTTTGGTATATGGATTGTGCCTAACATATGCAAAGGTAATGAAGAAGTCATTCCTATAGCCTTTAATCATTGTATGAATAGCTTAAGATGCGAATGACTAACAATGACAAGGTTAATCCGCTCCGGATTACACACTAAAAGAATAACCCTAGAAAAACACACATAAGATCGTCCATCGTGAAATTACCTACAAAACCCAAAAGATTCATCGTCATCTTGAGGAAGTAGTTAATTTCCTTAGTCCTCTTTCTTAAGGCACAATGTGTCCAATTGAGATGATGACAAGAGCTTCTTGGTGTGTCTCACCATCAAGCGGTTTCCCACACCACGACAATTTCAAGTTACAACCATTGTAACACCGACAAGGGTTGGGAAGTTTGGTCACTGCTTGATAAGTGTGTAAATGTTCAAATTTTTACCCCATATTTAACCACATTTTACTTGAGATAGAATTATTTCAATCTTTTCGAAATTAAGGCTTAGTTGTGTTGTTTCATTTATAGGTACTATACGTCACAACGAAGAGGAAATTAAAGTATTTTGGAGCCATTCTAACCATGGTTTGAACCAAGGAATCCACTAGAAAGTATTGTATAGGCATGCATGGACCGGCACACCACTGTTCAGTAATCATTGCTTTCTGAGCACACTGGAATAACATGCATGGGCCGATGCTTAGATACATATTTTGTTTTCGAATTGATGCACTAGTGTTTGCACACATGTTCCTTGGTACTCTGCCCTATATTTAAGTGTGATTTTAGTTTTTTTTTTTTTTTTTTATGGTTTCGACACATGAAGAACCCTAGCTATTTTCTATCTTTTCTTTAAATATTTCACTGTTGGAAATTATGGAATTTTCGTCCACATGAAAGTGATCTTAAATCAAGTCGAAAGTAAAAAGTGGTCGGAAATAGCAGAAAGGTTTTTCCGGATACCAAAGTGGTCGGAACAAGACTTTTGACTTGATTTAAGATCACTTTCAGGTGGTCGGAAATTCCATAATTTCCAGTAGTGTTTTTAAGTTAGAATGGACTTAGATTTACTTTCCTTTACACTTTTGGAGCTTGTAATCAATGATTCAACACTTAGATTTCAAGATTACTCTTCCATTTTCAATAGATAAGCCTAATTCTCTTTTATCTCTTTCCTTTGCAATATTTATGCTTATTACTTGTGAGATCGCTTTGTTAGTACTTAATATGAGTAAGTACGTAGTTAGTATAAGGACTTCAGATAGGGGGTATTATATCTCTATATTATTGTGCTATGATTATTGCATAAGGAGTACATTCCTAACCTAG